TATGTATGTATGTTTGTATGGAAAAAAATATATATATGTATGTATATTTGTACCTGCATATGTCTATGTATTTATCTCTAGTTGGTAAGATTATAGGAAATCATTTTTTTCTATTTTCTTCCAAATAAATGTTCTTTTTATGACAAGGAAAATAACTAAAATTTTCAGTGAAAAGAAAAATTAAAGATCCATAGCTCTTAACTTTTTTTCTTTTCATTTTTCTTACTTAGCAAATAATCAGTGAAGTGGTTTTGTTTGGACAAGAAGCTCAAGTTTGGAATAAATTGAGCATTAGAAAACAATTACAAAATGGCACCTTGTTCATTTTAATGGTTGGCTTGAAAATGTCAGGGAACTCATGGAAATAGAAGTAGCATTAGCTAAATAAGATCCTACCTATGGCAGAAAGGTTATATTAATGAGTCCCCTTCAGGTTGCATTTTCAGAGCAGACCCATGAAATCTTTAAAACCTGATTTTAAGAATTCCACTGAGATTTCCTGCTGTTCCAGAGGGGCAAGCTGAGAATAGAACTTATAAGCTTTGGGGTTTCTGTTATTCTTCCTCCATCCCCATCCCATCCCCCCTGCAGGTCACCTCTGACTTTCTGGTGACAGAGAAGAGCTGAGTGTGTTGCCATCCTAGTCATCTAACATTCTTACTTATCTCTTACCTGAGACACCTGATGAAGCTCACCGCACCTACAGCCTGAAACGTCACCCAAATTATCAGGGCAGTTTTACATAGAATGTTGTTGATTGCTCATATAAAAAAAGAATTACTGACTTAAAACAATGAGTCCAGAAAGATAGAAAGGAACCACACCACACACGGCCTTGAAAGTATGACTAGTTTAGTTTTATTCTAAGTGTAGAAAGAAGGCATTAGAGATTTAAAGCAAAACAGTGACATGATCTGGTTAAGAACATCACTCTCATTGCTTTAACTGGAGTGACATAGAGTGGACACAAGGGAACCAGTTAAGTGACAGTGGCCTAGGAAGAAAGGAAAGTGTGTTACGCTCACACACATACACGTATAAATATATACATATGTTATATATGTACACATATGTGTCATAGAAATATCTATTTATACATGTGTTTCTGTTCACTTTAAATGAAATAGCCACCATACTGAATCCTTAGGTAATTTTTTTCTTGTAACAATTATTTTTCTCATCTATTCTTCTGAAAAATCACTTTTGACATGTGTGTACTATTTCATTGAAGGGATAAGTCACAGTTTATTAAACTAATTTCTTGCTGTTAGTCTTTTCTTTCCAGTTTTTATTTTTAAAGATGATGCTTTCAATACCATCTTTGCCAAGAGATTGTTGAGCATGTTTGGTTATTTCTTTAAGGTTAATTATTCACAGTAGAATTGGCTCAGAGGTTTCCTTTTTAAAGGTTGGGATGCAGGGTACCAAACTGCCCTCCACAATGGTTGTCTTATTTATACCTGTATTGGAAGTATATGATGGCGTCCATATCCTCAAACTCTTCCCTTATAAATACATACATATGTATACACACACGTATACATACATAAGTTTGCCAAGTTAGTGGACAGAAATATTGCAGTTATTTTAATGAATATTTCTTTGATTATTAATACGTTAAATATATACAGTGCCCCTTTTATTTGTTTTTCTATGCATTGTATTTAAAGTGGAGCCGAGAGTTAAGAAGGATCCTTAAATTATGGGTATAAGAATATAAATTATATAGAAAAACATGCCCCATCAGTGAATTCTCTGTGGCTTATCGAGCTGTTTCTTCGATCTCCATGAAATCTTTCTTGCGGTGTGCTGTCTAACTGGTAGCAGTGAAGGTAGATAAAAGTAAACACTTTGAAAGTTGGTTCTAGTTGCTATCTGGTGTGTGAAGCGCAGCGCTTAACAAATGATCCTGGAGCTCTTGCGAATCCCAGGCTGGTCTCGCTGTGAAATTAATTGAACAATCAGGGTTTGTGGCTCTCTAGTGAAGGAAGGCAACTCGAATTGTCAGGCCAGCCACGCGAGTGAGAAAGCAGTGCCTCCAAGCGACATGTTCTAGAAAACGACTCTCAAAGGCCATCCTTCCCACGGCACCAGGGTCGGATGAGTTCAGCTGTGGAGCCGCGTCGTCTGAGCCTCCACTTAAAAGTAACCGTGGCTTGTTACCTGCAGGAAGAAAGAAGCCATGCTCACTTTTTATTGGCAAAATGTTAAAAAAGTAAGAATTTAGTCAGGGCTTAGCAGTAAGTAGATATAAAGGCTGAGAGGCTGGTAGGGAATAAGTGAACACATTTGTGGCTTTCATTTCCAAAGTTTAGTCTTGAACTTTTATTGACTCAGAAACAAACAGGTCAATCTTTCAATGAAGTTTTCTAACTTGGAGCCTGAATAGCTTTTTTTAACCCTGCACTGAGTGTGCTGCGTACAGTGTGGCAGCAATGGGGTCGGTAGACATGTGTTTCTTTTAATGAATATGAAAAAGGTGAGAACCCCTTTTCTCATTTGTTTTTCTGTATTAAATTCTGTGACCTTAGGAAAAAAAGCCAGCTGAAATGACATAATTTTTATTCCTTTAAACACTAGGAAATCATGGGTCTCAGGACCCTACCATAGCTCTGGGTTAGATGTCACGATCAAATTCCGACTGTTGACACTTTACACCAAATCACTGTCTTCCCCAAGGACATCATTTAAACACTATTATTTATCAAACCACATCCCAGGAAAATACACTGTAGTTGGATTTCTGATCTGGTTCATCCCAAGGGGAATGTCATCATGTCTTAGAAAGATGGAGACTTGGAGCAAAAAAAAAAAAAAAAGAAAGAATATTTATTAAGCACCTTCTGTGTACCAGCCCCTATGTTAGTGTTTCGCAGGCTTTACTGCAATTCATTCTCATAACAATCCTCTGAGGTATACACAGATATCCCCATTTTTCTAATGAAGAAATTTGGGCTCAGAGAAATTAAGGAGCCGGTCCAAGGCCCCTGAGCCAGAAGGAACTTTAGATCCGTGTGATTTGAAAGACTGTGAACTTTCTACTGCCTGTCAACAATATGGATTTCAGGGTCCAGGGAAAACTCCCCCTTAACTCAGGGAGGAAGAGATGGGGGAGCAGGAGAGAGCCATCTGTTCAAGCCCAGCCTGAATGGCCTTGACACCCAATCGAGTCCCACTCCTCTCATGTGCAGCTGACGACATGGAGGCCCAGGGACTGAGACTGAGTTCCCTAGAAGGGCCTCAGATGGAAATTTGGGTAAGGGAGTGAGTGCACAGGTGAGGGAGGAGAAGAAGCTAAGCCTAGATGGGGTTGAGGGCTCCCCAGTTTACAGTCAGCACCAGCTGCCAGGTATGTGAGCAAGGCCACTGTGGATGCCCCAGCCCCAGGTGAGCCTTTCCAGCTGTTGCCATGTGGAGGAAAGAAAACCATCCCCACTGACCCAAAGACTCATGGGCTAGGCCATCATGGCTTTTGTCTTCAGCCAGCCACTAAGTTTGGGGGTGGCTGTTTGGCAGTAATAGATTACTACAACACCTCCAAATCCCATATCAGATGGGGGAAGAACATTCCCTAAAGCAGAATCCGATTACTGTTTCTGGCAAAAGCCTGTGTATCCTCAGGAAGAAAAAATATGTTCGAGTTACCGGAAGACAGGACTTGGACCTGGTCCTTAAAATCTGCAGCCTTGACTTCTTGGGAGCATATCCCATTACCTTTGTATTCTCTCAGTCATTTCCCTGCAATTCAACTTCTAAGAAGAGAGCGCTGGCTAAGCCTAGGCAGGGCTGGAGGTTTATCTTTGCCCAGGAATGAGTATCAGATAATCAAAGGCTTGGGCCTTGGAAGGTGAACCTCAAATGGCATGACATGGAACTACGTGCATCCTCATGGAAGCATCTAGAAAGGGTAGGCTCTTGCATCCTGCTTCTCTGAACCTCCACCCTTCCTAGGCCTTCTCCTTTCTGGAACCTGGTTACGTGACATCTTTTTAGATCCCAGTTGTACCTTTCAGTGAATTGCTTTGGTGCTTACAACCAAAGAGCCTTAATGAATACATACATCCTGAGAGAAAGTAGTCTCAGAATATAGTTCTAAATTATCAGGTGAGGAAACTGAGGCCTCAGGAAGTTTAATTTCACTGCTCCTGGTCTACAAGCATAATCAAAACCCTGGATTTCTGACTTTCAGTCCACGGCCTTTCCTCTGTTCCAAAGGAGAAGCAAGTCTTGGGATAGAAGTTTCATTTTTCAGATGGAGTTACGGAAGCCAAAGTCCACAGAGGGGGAGTGTTACCATCTTCAGGAATAACCAAAGCCCCAGATCCAAGAGTGCAAACCTTAAAACTGAAGCTGTTCAATATTCAGTCTTCTCAAAGGGGATACTTTATCTGTGACCAAAACCCTAAACTCCTTACTGAATTAAGTGGTGAACTTATGTTTGGAATCAATAGAAAAGAAATACACCTGCACCTCCCAATTCACTTCTAAGAATTAATGAAAATCTAGTTTACAATAAATGTTAATTAGGAAAGTTACTCACCATACTTAGTAGGTCTCAGCAATGAGACAAAGGCCTTCGAGTGCATTCATGAGATGGTCTTAAAACATAATAAAATAATTTACATTTTTAAACCATGAATTTAAAACTATGAATCTATTATTCATGATTTTGCTTAATCAAACAGTTTCTTCTCTCCTCCCTTCTCCCTCTCTCTCTCCTCTCTCTCTTCTCTCTCTCTCTCTCTCTCTCTCTCTCTCTCTCTCTCTCTCACTCTCACTCTCACACACACACACACACACCCCTAGGTCCCTATGTTACAGTATGTTACTGATATTTTTCCTCTATTTTCTCTGTGGAAAGCAATTGTTTCCTTTATTTCTACTTTCTATATTTTTCAAGAAGAGATACCCTTCAAACTGAAGACATATTCCTATTTTCTACAACATACATTGGTGTTTATTCTATCCACACTCCTTGTATTTTTATAGACTCTAGCTATATTAGTTTTCCATTTCTGAACTTTTATAGCTCTCTCATTCTGTCAATTAAATATAGTTTCCTACATTGTTACTTCCCACCTGTGCTTTCAGCTACAGATTACATTTTCACTGATGGAAAGAAATCTTATTTTCTTTTTTTTTATATACCTGATAATTCACAGAGGCTTGTAAGACAGGAGATGTTTTTTCACTCATTCGTTGCTTCCATAAATATTTATAAAGAACATTCTATGCACTAGAACTGGTACTCAGAACTACCCAGATGAATATAATGCTACTCCTGGTTTCAAGATGTGAATGAACCAATGAATAATACTCCTCTTTATCAACCGAAATGTTCCATCACTGAAAAAGGGAATTAAACCACTTAGGGCATTGTGGAGCCTGAGGCACACCCACGCATTCTAAGAAGACAATTCACAGAATGTGGACAAAACAAGTGGAAATACTCAAAGTTCTTAAACATCATAGAGGTTGGAAGACATGGGCTGGGAGCCTGAAGACCAGAGCTTTGGTTCCAGTTCTGCTAAAACCAGTCTTGTGACCACAGACAATCCAACTCAACCATCCTTAACTTTGGTGCCTGAAAAATTGGGAAGAGGGACTAGACATTCTGTTGGTTTCCCTCCAGTTCTAAAATTCTATAAGCAAAGAACTAGGTAAAATTCCTCCAGCTTCTAACCAGAAACAACAGGATGAAATCAGGAAAATTAAAATTAAGGGTAGTTGTGAGATATAGTTCCCCTTACTAAGAGTTGAATGGAATATGGATATTTTGTCAAAGGGGGGAGAGATTAAAGTTTCCTTGGCTAAAGAAATTTAAAAATAAATCCTGATAAATTTCACGGCATATACTGTCAGCATCCTAACAAAGGCTTTGAAAAAAACGAAAGAAAAGTAAAGGAAGAAAACAGATAAATGGTCTTTTCTTTTTTTTTCTGGAATATCTATCATTATGTAAAAGAATTTTACTAGTCCCCAGAAATATACCGTTCTTTGCTTCTTCAACAGAATCAAAAGAAATGAAATGATGGTAGAATAGATTTGCAAAGTGCTCAATTAGAGTGACAAATTTACAAATAAACCTTTTCTTTCCCCCACACAGGATTGCCACTTTAAGACATCAAATGCGTTTGCTCTTTTGTGCAGCACATCAAAATGTTAAGTTAACTAGACGCGGGAGGGAATAATATGTCAACATAACGATAAGCTTGAGTGACAAAGTAATCGAATATGAGGAAAACATTTTTGGAGCAAAGTGGTAACAGCTGCAATAAGGCATGAGATAAATTGTGCAGGATCCATTTAGCTCAGGAGACCCAAGTGAGAAAGCAAAACAAAACAAAAAAAGGCAGTGGCAAAAGTTAAACATGAGCTTACTTTGTGTCAAACAAAGTCCAAGGATGGAGGAGGAAACCTCTCCAGACAGGAGAGGAAACATACCGGGGAACCGAAAGCAACTGAAGAAAACGAGGCCTATTTGAAGGCATGTAGGTGATTTGGATCGTTGAGATATCACACAGAGAATTAATGGGTCAGAACAGAGTTGGAACATAAGATTTCCGTAATGTGATTTTCCTCCCTTTGCAAAATTCCGTGTTCTTCCTTGGAAATATGTACTATGTCCCCCAAGTGAGCCCTCATGTAGCTGTGGAGGAGAACTTGAATGGGTTCCAAAGAGGCAGAAGGCAGAAAAATTAAAAGTAGATGTCCAGAAAGCATGGCCTCGAGTATAGACAGCTGTGAAATAAAGCAGAGGTCCAAAAGCCCCGACTGTGAGAAAATGCCTTCTCAAATATACAAAACTCTGTCAACAGAGAAGCGAGACAACAGGGATGTTACACCTTAATGGAATTGAATGCAAGTTTAAGCCAATATCAAGGCAGTGAGGTTTTTTTAAGCAAAGTCGGAAAATTCAAAGAGATCACTCCCCTGGTAACAATATCTCAGACACCTTACCCATGTGTTGTATTTCATGTCTGCTGGCTATGTTAACTTTTCGGCTTTTCTATTTGTAAAATGGCTGGCTCTGAATTGGGGTGAGATGTCACTACACCTTAAGAACGTGTATAAATCACAGAGGGATCTGTGGAGGAGTTGAAAGAGTATACAAAAAATAAAGCCTTACGGAATGACAGGGTGTCCTCCCCATGCTGTGCTCTGATGGGACGTTTTAAAGCGGCATATATTGAAGCCGAAGCGTTCTTGACATGAGCCGAGAAAGACGACGGGAGTCCAGGGGCATGGATGGATGGTCCGGCCAAAGCATCGCCCTTGTTGACAAAACACAGCCCATCGGTGGGTCTGGGGGAGAAGCATGTGGCACAAGACACCTGGAAGTATAGCAACAAAGGGCAATCAGAAAAAAATAAAATGAAAATAAAAAAAGGTATCCCAGAAGCTTACCGAAGTACCTTATGCTTGTGCTAGGGTTTGCATTTCACAGTTTTCTGTGGAAGCTATTACCAACATTTTCCATACAAGTAAACTGGAGGTTTAAGAGATTTCTAATTTAACCAACGCTCCAGCTGGAATGTGGATATGCACCCAGGCTGTCTGATGCAGGTCCAGTTCGTGTCCATGCTATTGTCTCCTTTCTGTCTTGCTCCAATGACAGCTGCGGAGGAGGAGGGTTGGGACATTGTTCAAGGGGTTAATTACTAAAGTAACCGAAGTTACTTCCTACAGAGTTTATATAATCATAATCGAAGAACTCTCGGTCTGTACATCCAAAAATGGACTGATACAAGCAGGGCCACAAGAGTTTTCTGTGTGCTTTACCTAGAGGACACCATGTGAGTAGGAACGGGAAAGGAAGAAAGCTAACATTTACTGAGCACCTGCTATGTGCCAGACACAGGGCTCACTAAGTGCTTCATGTGTTATTCCTTTCAATCCCAGCTAGACAGACAGGACTTACAGGTCCCTTCTAGTTGGACCCCAGCCTGGGTGGAGGGGGTGGGGGCAGTAATCTTACTGTCTCCCTTTAACAAGGGATAAGAGGGAAATGTCCTTTGGAGAGGACAAGGCTCTGGTGCCTTCTGAAGCCAGAATCTGAGGCCCGATGGGGAAGCGAGCAGCAGGTCGTGCCATCGAATAGCCTTCACCCGCTGCATGGTACCACAGCAGTAGGTTCGCACTTCCTGACATGCCCCCTGTAGAAGCAGCACCTGCCGTACACAGATTTCAGAGTTTGTTACAAAGCACAGGCTGACTTGTGCAGTGAAAAGAGAAACTCACCGAACCACATCCTCTCTTCAGCCCACGAGCGCTGCTGTATGGAGCCAGCGACAGAAGACTATCTGAGAAGGTGAAATGTTCATCAGTGCACAGGTCGTGGGTGGCTATCTCCTGGGGTAGGTAGGCTGTTGGGGAAATGATCATAGGGAGCTTTATGGCCCAGGATGGAAATGCTAATTTAGTAAATACTCCTGAATAAGCACAGAGAAAAGCTGCTCTTCCCTAGCTCCTAATTTCCCCCGCCCACATCCCCACATCACCTACCTAACATTATATTGTCCACATGAATAAAACAAAATGAAAAAATGAGTCAGTGATCTGCATAGATCAGATAAACAAATTTATGTTTTCCTAAAATATTGGGCTAATTAATACTACCTGCTCTAACAATCTCAAAATCTCAGTGGCCTAACACAATAAAAATTTCTCATTTATGGCAGAGTCAAATGAAAACCAGATAAGGCAGAAACAAAATGGGGACTTCCTGCCTCCAACAGCCTGGTAGCAGAGGAGGCATGCATGCTGAAACAGAAGATTTAATAATTTAAATAAGATCCAGACTGTGATAACATGATACACAGGATGCCCAAGATATAATTAGAAATTACTTGTTGCAATAAGAACAAAAAAAAATCTCAATTTGAATGAGAAAAGACAATCGCCAGATAACACCAAGATGGCACAGATGTTAGAATTATCTCACAAGAATTTTCAAGCAGCCGTTATACAAAATGCTTTAGTGAGTGATCACAAACATACTCGGAACAAATGAAAAAGAAAAAAAAAATCTCAGTAAATAAATGGAAAATATAAAGAAGAACCAAATGGAAAATTTAGAACTGAACAACACAATAACCAAAATAAAAAACTCAATAGATGGACTCAACAGTAGAGTAAAAAGGACAAAAGAATCAGTGAGTTGAAAGATAGAATGATAGAAATTATTTTGAATAGCAGAGAGAAAGTGGACTGAAATAAAATGAATAAAGTCTTTGGATATAACAAAAGGTCTATTATGTATGTCAGAGTCTCAAGAAGAGGAGAAAGAGGGTGGGATTGAAAAAAAATCAAAGAAATCATGAGTAAAAATTTCAGAAACTTAGATTCAAGAAAATTACTGAACCCCTGATGAGGATAAATTCAAAGACATGTATACCAAGACCCATTATAGTCAAACTTTTAATAACTAAAGACAAAAAATCCTTAAAAACAGTGAGAGAAAAGTAACATATTACCTATAGGGGAAAAATAATTCAAATGAGAGCAGATTTCTATCAGAAATAACCAGGAAGACGTGGCTTCAAATTACCATAATTTGTAAGTGTTGAAAAGAAAGAGCTATAAACCCAAATTTTATATTCAGGAAAAATATACTTCAGACTTGAAGAAAAAATCAAGGCATTCTCAGATGAAGGAAAACTAAGAAAAAGTGTCACCTGCACACCTACTCGAAAAGAAATGGCTAAAGAAAGTTTTTGAAACAAAGAAAATGGAACAGAAGGAATCTAGGAACATCAAAAAGGAATAAAGAACAATGGAAAGAGTAAATGTATAAGGATAAATATCATATACTTTTGTTCTCCTCTTGAGTTTTCTAAATTGTGTGTCATGTTTGAAGTAAAAATTATAGCATTCTTTGATATAATTATCAATGTATGTGGAAAAACATTTAAGGCAGTGGTTCTCAACCTGTGGGTCGTGACCCCTTTGGGGGTCGAATGACCCTTTCACAGGGGTCGCCTAAGACCATTGGAAAACAAAAAGATATTTACATTACGATTCATAACAGTAGCAAAATTACAGTTATAGAGTAGCAACGAAAATAATTTTATGGTTGGGGGTCACCACAACATGAGGAGCTGTATTAAGGGGTCACGGCGTTAGGAACGTTGAGAACCACTGATTTAAGGTGTTATAGTATAAATGTAAAAAGGAAAGGAAATTAAAGTGAGCTAAGGCTTCCACAGTTCACGTGAACTGGGAAAATGTCAACACGAGGATACCGTTAAGCTAGGTAGGTATGTATAACATAACACCTAGAGAAGTCACTTAAAATTTTACATAAAAGATGTATTAAAATGCACTATAGATAAATTAAAATAGATTTCTAAGAAAAGGTTCAAGTAACCAACAGGAAGACAGGAAAAGAAAAAAACCAGAGCAATAAAATGGCAGACCAAAGGATAAGCTATCTATAAGACTCTCACTTAATACGTAAAATCTGACCCGTCTTTCCCTGCTGAAGCAGCCTCTCTGTTTTATGCGGCTTCTCTTGCCTGAGTAAGTTACTAAACAGGAGGAAATCGATTCTTCTCATACCCCAAACCACATGCACCTTTCACTGTCCCCAGGTCATAAGTAAAGCAATAAGTTAACATGCTCCTGGAGGTCATTACAAAATTATAGCCAAAAAGAGAAAACATGCATATAAAACTTATGTTCTCTATCTAAATAGTGGGCTGGGTTACACAGGTACATGTATTTCTGAACTATTTAGGAGGAAGTGTATCAAGTCTGCAATATACTTTGAAATGCATGAAAGAAAAATAGTTAAAGAAAGACAGGGGTAAGAAACAGATATGTGATAAAACACACATGCTAAATGTTAATGATAGAAGCTAGGCAGCAGGTATGCATGTGCTCACCATCCAATTCTTTCATTGTTTCTTTGCATTTGAGAATTTCCATAATGAACTGCTGAAAATTTGAATGACTGATAAAAGATTTGGGTGTTGTTACTGGTGCATGAGATTTACTGAAGCCAATAGATCAGAAGCCAGCACAGCTTTTAAGGGACTTGTATTGTCAAAGAAACCATGGTTCTGGGCTTAAAAACGTCTTTAACAGCTTAAGGCTTAAAACAGTCCTTGGAAAACCAACTTTCCACAAACAGGAAATGGGTTATGAAAGTCCTACACCCCCCAAGGAAGGTGTACTCTCCAATGCCCACTTCAGAAGTGGGGAAGAGAAACACGTAAGAAAAACCCCTCTGAGGGGGAGCCAGGTCCTTTGGGGTTCTTTCCACAGCACAGAAACAGGGTTGATTTCAATAATAATAAAACATTTAAAAATCCCTCCATATTAGGTAGGTGGCCTTCACAGCACCTGCCCAGTTGGGTTCCATCATCACTCTGAGCAGCAGAAGACAAGGGTCTTCTTTTTCTGAATGGGAGTTTCGCTGCTCTTCTCTCTGCCCCATTGCTGCCTATGGCGTGTGTTAGGGCGACCGGGTCACCGAGAACTAATGGAAAGGACTGTGCATCACGCAGAGATCAACGTTGGATGTGGCAACTGTGTGCACCTTTAGTTTCCTCCTTTGGTAAGAGGTAGAGTGTATTTTCTGTGTGGGGACGAACAGCGGGACATACTGTATTTGGTGTCACTAACCTGTAACATGTTTCCTCTTCTTCTTAAACGCACAGCTAGCCTACGTCCCAAGCTCTCTTGCTGTCAGCTGTATACAGGTGACTGGATCCTAGCCTCTGAAATATGAGCAGAAGTGACAGGCTCCTTTCAAGCCCGTCCCCCAGAAATGACCCACACCTCGCCCTTGATGCTTTTGTCTGCTTTCTGGGTTCTTGTAAATGAGCATGGTAACTTCTGAAGCAGCAAGGGCGAGCCTGGGTCACTAGTTACGGCGTGCCAATTACAAACACTCATTCTGAGCCCTACGTGAGTAAAAAATAGATTTCTCCCATCACTTTTCATTGAGCCATTTTGCATTTTGCCATTTGTTTATAACCACAGTTAGACTTACCCTTGCTAGAAAACCTCCTCAGCATTAAATGTAAAAAATTAAATCTAAAACATCGTAAACATATGGATAACAATTCCACCAAAGAGACTTATTTTCTTTCACCAATATCTAGGCATCAAAGGGTGCTGAATTTAGGCAGATTTTACTCTCAATTTTTACACTTTCTAGTTTGGCACTATATAGATATATATTTACAGAGCTATTCTCAGTAATTGACAGGACATTAGACTCAAGCAGCACCTTTGTGTCCGACCTGGGGTCCCCTTCAGGCAGACAGACCCTATAGAGAACCACACCAATCACTGGCGTAATGACTCAAAACAGCAGAGTTTCCATTTATTGCCACAGTCCCTCCCTGGAAATTTTTCTGGGTGCAAGCTATGCATGTCAATCTAAGAGACAATTAAATCTACTTCCTCACCAAGACGGAGTAAATATCACAAGAGACAACTTTTCCCTACAAGGCACAGATATGTTGGCTTGTAATAGAACAGCCTGGACATTCTTCCTCCACAAGGAGTGAAAATTCCCAAAGCAGTGGAGTGCTGGTGAGGGGAGGGGCTCTGTCCCCAACATGGTTCACACTTAGGAGCGGGGGAGAACCAGTGACCAAGGCTGCACTGTGTTCCTGATACTTCCTGAGCCTCGTAAGGAGACAGGGTGTACAGAGGGGGTGAGAGTCTTGCTTATCTTCATGGGGGCTGTTTGACCTAGGAACCGGCGTGCATACCCTGCCCTGAAGGAATTGGGGAATAAAACTACCCACTGAAAGAGATTTGAAATCTGAGCAGGAAAACCCACCCTGTCTTGCTCTTGCTTCGGCCTTTATGTATCTTGATCAAAAGCTGTTCTGTGGCTCCCTCAGTGCCACCCCAGGCTCCGGAGGCATTAAATGCCATCTCCTCTGTGCTCGCCACTCCTCCCCTGCATTACTCCACACAGAATCCGTTACGTCATGTTCTAAATCTAGTTTTCTCTGTAGTCACTGTAAGATTTGGGGTCCCTCAGGGGCAGGGGTTGAATCATACCCATTGCTGCATATTCCATATTTAGCTCAGAGCCTAGCATGCACTGAAAGGCTCAAAAGGTGGAATCGATTTATCAGCCTGGATAACTGAAGCTTCCCAGATTTTTTTTTATAAATCTCTCCATTCTTATTTTAGAGCCCAGAGAGATGATTGCTGAAAAACAATGTTTTAATTTAAAAGATTAGACTATTTTTGTCTAAATAAGAAAGGGAACTATTAGGAGCTTGCTCAGTAGAGTGGCATTCCCATGGACATTCTCTTGCCATTTTTCCATTGTTTCAGCTGTTCCCCGGGTTGGGACCACCTTCAACTTGCACCAACCCATGGACTTTGGAGCTAC